TTCCTGTCAGAGGCCTTCAGGAACTTCTTCTTCTGCTGCTGGCAAGACTTTCTTGAAGGCCTCTGCAGCCAATAACAGAGTTCTGGATCGATCTGGAGCTTTGTTATCATCTACAGAGGACTTCAGGAAAGCCTTGCCGGCTGTGGAAGAAATGGGCTGAAAAGGCAGGTGTTGGGGTGTGTGAGGCTTGGCTACAACTGTCCAAAGGTAAGTAGTAGGGCAGCTCCACCCCCTCCATCCTCACCCTAGCTTAATTTTTACCCAGGCATTCTGGAATGGGTGGAATCTTCATTAGGGCTTATTTTGGGGGTAGGGCTTATATTGGGTGCACATGTAAAAATCAAGCTAGGACTTACTTTCAGGGTAGGTTGTATTTTGGGGGAAACAGGGTACTCAAGGAGAGAAGCAACCTAGAACTAAGGAGGGATTTCCTAGCAGTGAGAACAGTTAGCCAGTTGAATGTCTTGCCTTGAGAACTTCTGGATGCTCCACCACTGGAGGATTCAAGAAGAGACTGGACAGTCACTTGTCTGGAATGCTATAGGATTTCCTGCTTGAGGAGGAGTTGGAGTAAAAGACCTCCAAGGTCCCTTCCAACTCTATTGTTCTGTTATTCAGTAGTAATGTATGGCTGGGAGAGTTGGACCCTAAGGGAGGCTGAGTGATGAAGAATTGATGCATTCACTGTGGTGTTGGGGAAGACTCTGGAGAGTTCCTTGGACTGCAAGGAGACCAAATCAGTCAATCCTGAAGGTAATCAACCCTAACAGCTCTGTGGGAGGATGGAAACTGATGCTGAAGCTCAAAGACTTTGGCTACCAAAGGAGAAGAGAAAATTCCTTGGAAAAGACCCAGATGTTGGGAAAGGTGGAAGGCAAAAGGAGAAGGGGACAGCAGAGGAAGGAATGGTCAGATAGGGTCATTGACGGAATGGAGTGGAGTAGAGTAGAATTAGAACAGAACAGAATAGGACATAGGATAGGATAGGGCAGGACAGAATAAAATAAGAAAAGAAAAAATAAGAAGAGAATAGAGAATAGAATAGAATAGAAAATAGGCCAGAATAGGATAGGGTAGAATGCAGAATATAATGTAGGATAGGATAAAGTAGAGAATAGAACAGAATAGAATAGAGAACAGGATAGAATGTAATAGAATAGAATGCAAAATAGAATGTAGGATAGGATAAGATAGGATAGGATAGGATAGGATAGGATAGAATAGAATAGAATAGAATAGATAGGATGGGATAGAATAGAGAATAGGACAGGATAGAATAGAATGTAGGATAGAATGTAGAATAGAGTAGAGTAGAGTAGAGCAGAGTAGAGTAGAATTAGAATAGAATAGAATAGAACAGAACAGAACAGAACAGAACAGAATAGAATAGAATATAGGATAGGATGGGATGGGATAGAATAGAGGATAGGATGGGATAGAATAGAGAATAGGACAGGATAGGATAGAATGTAGGATAGAATGTAGAATAGAATAGAATAGAATAGAATAGAACAGAACGTAAGATAAAATAGAATAGACTAGGATAGGATTGGATAGAATAGAATTCTTTATTGGTCAAGTGTGATTGGACACACAAGGAATTTATTTCCAGTGCCTAAGCTCTCAGCGTACACACATACAACCACAAAGTGATAGGTCATCGATCATTAATCATAGTTACAACGAACATTTTGGCTATCTCTGGGAGACGGTGGAGGACGGAGGCGGCTTGGCGTGCTACAGTCCATGGAGTCACAAAGAGTCGGACGTGACTTAGCGACTGAACAACACTGGCTAAGAAGTGTAGGAGGTTTTCTTGCCTTCATGCTGAATATCAAATCCTATATTGAGGTTTCAATTATTGAATTCCGGGAATTTCCCTCCCACCCTGCAGTCCCGAATTCACACCCGATAGGGAAATGACTTTAAAAAATACTCCCACATCTCTAGATTAAAAAAAGATGCCCTGAGAGCTACCTACACGTAGGTTGTTTTTCGACACATCCTCCAGAAATACTCTTTGCTGTATAGGTGGAAATTTTGAACACCACAGTTAACATTTCACCTTTTATTTCAGGAACATCTCTCACCCGTCTAATCTGCTGGGAGTGCACCTTTTTTTAAAAAGAAATATCAGGGCTCGCTTATTAATTAGAAACAATTTAAGAGGTTGCTGTTGCCGGTTTGGAGCAATTCCTGAAATGTTTAGATCTAAGATAAACTATTGTCAAGGGAAAAGAGCGACGGGTTGCACGAAACCTCTTTGATCTTGCAACTTCTGTTTAATAGCTCAGAGGGTTCTGTTTTTTTTTTTTTCCTTTATTTTTTTCCCCCCGGCAGAACTGTTTGAAGGGCAGAAAAAAAATGTGATGATTAAAAAGGTACTGTCCTTAGTTAACTAAGATATCCGGCTAAGATAATGTTGATTAAGGAACCTGCTCAATTTCTCAGATGAGCAGAAGACAAATTCTTTTGAAGATCTTTCCTACTGCTGGAAACTCAACCCTCTCAACCAGAAGATAAGGTCTTCTGTCACGCCCCCAAAATCAGGATTACCGTAATTTCCAGGAAAAAGATTTATTGCTTGAGCCAACAAATACATAAATAAATACATGAGAATCTAATTAATGGTCAGCAATAATTTGGCACTAGATAAAAATTAACCCCAGGAAGTCCCAAAGGTGGGTTTGTTTGTTTTTTCAGGAGGCAACTGGATGTCCTTTGTTTTCCCTTGAAAACGTTTCGCTTCTCATCCAAGAAGCTCCTTCCATTCTAACTGAACAATGGGGGATGACTTGAAATCTGCATTCAGTCAGAACTGATGAAGCTTCTGGGATGAGAAGCAAAACGTCTTCAAGGAAAAAAGCAATTTTATTTATCATCTCTCTCTCATCTCTCTCTCTTTCTCTCTCTATCCTATCTATCTATCTATCTATCTATCTATCTATCTATCTATCTATCTA